ACCAGGAGGGGGATAGGGAGAGGAAGGAAAAGGCAAAAAGGGAGGAGAAAGAATAGGATTGAGCAAAAGTATGAGGAGACAGGGATTGTATATCCATGTACTGTAAGGCCTTTAGAGTGGCTTATGTTAGCTAGATAGGGCGCTATATCAACTGTTGTATATCTAAGAGGATAGAAACAGGAAGATAGGTAGATCCAAAAGACCAGAAGGATATGGCAGGGGGAAAAGGTAAAGATGGAAAACAATTTTTAACAGGGGATTTGTTAAGCCCAGAGGGAAGATATATGGCAGGGGGATGGGAATGACAGGAGGAGGTAGCAAGANTTGGAATAGGTCACTTGAGCAAAGCTCAGGTGACCTAAAAACAGGAGGGGAACAGAAGGGTTTGTCAGGGGAATGGGAATATGAGGATGAGACCTGAAAGAGACAAAAGGATGAGAGAATGGAAAGAGTCACGTAAATATCAGTGATATAAAGGGATGGGGCTAATTGATATATAGGTAGGAAGAGAACAGTGATATAAAGAGAGGAAGAGATCAGTGATATAAAGGGAGGAAGAGATCAGTGAAATAAAGGGAGGAAGAGATCAGTGATATAAAGGGAGGAAGAGATCAGCGATATAAAGGGAGGAAGAGATCAGCGATATAAAGGGATGAGGTTAAGTGATACAAGAATTCCACGAAAGTGGATGTGTCGCAGGCGCAGGAAGCTGGGAGATTACGAAGAAATAGATACACTTTTCATTTCAAGAAATAATGTTAAAAGTAAGCAATAATCATGTTTTTGGATGGCATCATTTTTTTTATCTAATCTGTTATTCTGGGAAGAATTTTTTGAGTTTTAAGGAACTTGCTATGGATACTCATTGTCTCAATTCAACTCCAATATGGTGTCCACAAGCAAGACCAGCATCGCCTCATTGGTTTCCATAAAAAAAATCTGGAAAATGCAAGAATGCTTAGCACTGCATGAAGTTTGAGTTTGATCGGCCCAAGGACACTCAAGTTATGGCACGAAAACAGATTTTCTATTTATAGTAGCAGTGACCTTGACCTTTGACCTTCGGACCTGAAAAGCAATCCCAAGCAAGCGCTTTTGGTAAGGAAGCACTGCATGAAGTTTGAGTTTGATCGGCCCAAGGACACTCAACTTATGGCACGAAAACAGATTTTCTATTTATAGTAACTGTGACCTTGACCTTTGAACTTCGTACCTGAAAAGCAATCCTAAGCGGGCACTTTTGGTAAGGAAGCACTGCATGAAGTTTGAGTTTGATCGGCCCAAGGAAACTCAAGTTATCGCACGAAAACAAATGTTCTATTATAGTAACAGTGACCTTGAACTTTGACCTTCAGACCTGAAAAGCAGTCTCAAGCAAGCACTCTTGGTAAGGAAGCACTGCATGAAGTTTGAGTTTGATCAGCCCAAGGAAACTCAAGTTATCGCACGAAAACAGATTTTCTATTTATAGTAACTGTGACCTTGACCTTTGACCTTCGTACCTGAAAAGCAATCCCAAGCGGGCACTTTTGGTAAGTAAGAACTGCATGAAGTTTGAGTTTGATCGGCCCAAGGAAACTCAAGTTATCGCACGAAAACAATTTTTCTATTATAGTTACAGTGACCTTGACCTTTGACCTTCGGACCTGAAAAGCAATCCCAAGCAAGCACTTTTGGTAAGGAAGCACTGCATGAAGTTTGAGTTTGATCGGCCCAAGGAAACTCAAGTTATCGCACGAAAACAAATTTTCTATTATAGTTACAGTGACCTTGACCTTTGACCTTCGGACCTGAATAGCAATCCCAAGCAAGCACTTTTGGTAAGGAAGCACTGCATGAAGTTTGAGTTTGATCGGCCCAAGGAAACTCAAGTTATAGCAATACCTATGTGTCACCAGCTTTTCGCAGGCGACACAATAAAGGGAGGAAAAGATCAGTGACATAAAGGGAAGAAGAGATCAGAGATATAAAGGGAGGAAGATATCAGTGATAGAAAGGGAGGAAGAGATCATTGATATAAAGGGAGGAAGAGATCAGTGATAGAAAGGGAGGAAGAGAAAATGTGGAACAACATCAGATGGGAAGTTCAGAAGCAGAAAGTGGCTGGGATAGAAGGGGATGTTACCATTAGGTGCCATTGGTTTTTCAAATATTTCAGTCCTTAATTCCAGAAGTGTTTCAGAAGTGTGTATTTAAGGACAACTACACATCTGTTATGTTGATGCACTGAAAATGATTTTTGTTCAAAATTTCATTGGTATAAATGTGACCTTTGGCATGTAGGCCACAAAAGATTGGAGCACTGAATGTGTGGGAGGAAAGAAGATTTAGTTATTATATAACATCAAAGTCGAATGTATTTAGTTCAAGGACAGGTAATGAACAAGCACAAGACTCCCAGACAGGAATATGTCGCCAGCTTCAGCGTATTGGTTGAACGAGGACCGACTGCAATTTACCAACGATGAAGGAATAAAATGCAATAACTTTTCCTGTTTTATGAATTTTAAGGTGGTAGAAAATAAAGATGGCAACCATATTAAATCTAAGACTGGTTCAACATCAAACTTAAGCAGATAGTTGATACTATAGGAATTTTCAGACAGCTTCATGAAAGTGAAAGCATTTCAGAATTGTGACCTGCAAAACTCTATATGCACCAAAATTAGATTCGGGTAAATATTAACAACAACAGGTAATTCACTACCATGCATAATTAAATGTCACAAGCAATTCTTCACAAGTTATTGCATAAAATCTTTGTGTGAAAGACACCGCTGATTATCACCTTGATTGTAGGCCCACACAGAACCAGTCTGATGTATAGTATCCCCCCTTCTTGGCTATCTCACTCAATATATCACACAGATTAATTACACACTGGATCTGACAGAAGCTGCTTATAAACCTTACTAAATGTATTTTTCTCCTAAGAACTTAGAGATATATGTAAATATGTAGTCAAATCAATTAACAACCGTGACATTCAAAGGTTGTGCTGTATGCTTTGTGGAATCAAAGACCTAAAAGCTAGGACCATCAACAGTGAAAATGAAAAATGAAGCAAAGGATAATTTCTACACATAACTAATGTTACTTCGAGAAAGGTGTAGGATTTGGTATGTACTTTACTCATTCTCTATATTCTCAGTAAGACAGCTACATGTAGGTTGTAGGATAAGCTAAAGGCACGTTAATGTGGCCACTGAAGTGACGAGGAGGATTCATTGTGTGACAAATCTGTCAGCTCAGGCATCAAACCTATCAAAGTGTACAGGTAAAAATGTACAGGGAAGCAGAAAGTATTGATCAGCAACAAGGATCAGCAGCACGCCCACTTACAGGATCACTCCAATATTAAATGGAAAATAAGTGGAATTCATCCCTTTCTCCTTCTCTGAACTGTGTTTCATGTTTAGGAGCGAACACCCAGCCTTTAGGCCTAAGGTTACAAAGAGCTAGAACCTACATATCATTTCTGTGATTTATGTGCCAGAGTTACCTCCCCTAAAACATTTAATCACAATTTAAGGATTGGAACGCATCTTTTTAACATTTATGATAGTTTGCAACATATGCAGTTGTTAAATCCTGTTCTCTGATGCATGGCACTGGAGACGTCATTTGAATGGTTGTGTGATGCAAACCAGTCATATGTATAATAAAAAGATGCTTTTCAATCCTGATAATTAAATTTAGATTAAAAACAACAAAGAAAATTGTTGATATCGTCTTTCAGGGTTTCACAGTTAAAGGTGATGTGTTTTCTATGGTTACCAGTTCTGTCAGGCAACATTCAAATCCTAAACCATTCCCCAAAATAACCATCATAATGTGAAGCTGATGTCACCTTATGCTGGTCATATATTACTCTAACACACTTTGTAAAATATTTGCATATATTAATTTTGACTCAAATTAGTTCATATCAACAAAAAAATATTCATTTATTTATTTAGGCTTTATCTAAAGATAGTGTGGCAGGTTTTAATTGTGAATAAGATCATGATCACCTTCTACCTTTGCACTAGAGGGAATTTCCCTTTAGCTCAATCAGTGGAGCAGTGGACTGGGGGTCGCTGGTTGGATCCCCAGTGAAAGCACACTACTCTCTTTCCTGTTTCAAATAGTGTCCATGGCCATTTCTGTGTTGACAGGGAGATAAAACCTGGGATTTTGCTGTATTTGAGGGCGAACACATTTTAAAAAGGGTGGAGGAGTGTGATAGATTGTAATTGTACATAAGATTACAGTCCCCTTCTAGCTTAACACTAGAAGGAAAGAAGGAATTTCCCCTTAGCTCAATCAGGACAGTGGCAGACTGGGAACCAGCAGGGTTGATGGTGCAATGCCCGATGGAAGCAGTTTTCTTTCCCAATAAAATAGTAAAACAAAAGATGTTCATGTTGGTATTTGTCTGTTGATTACAGTAAGAGTGTACTATTACACTATTCCAAAGGTATTTCTATATTCCTAGTTATCAGACAGATGTCTAAAGATTTTATTATCTTACAGCATTTGTACAGCACGCTACATAGTCTGAAGGAAATTACTCCGAGGCAGTAACATTCACGAGATGACAAACATATCTTCAACGCAATCCGTCGGAGTGTGGAAGCTGCCTCTCTCTAGTGCTTCTTACCAAAGGATCCTGAGTATCACCAAATGTATGAGGGTGTACGTATTGTGTCTGCTTATGGTTGTTTGTATCTGTGTTCTGATTAGTATGGTTCTGTATTTCTAAAAGACTCATTTAAATTACCATATCACTACTACAGCATAGAAAGAGCTCTACTAAACTCAGCTCCTGAGGCAGGTGAAGAGGGCATCAATGGTAAAGTTTCTTGTTAAAAGACAGAACCACAATCTGTAGCTTACAAGATCTGAACCCATTGATGTGCAGTCATTACTCTGAGCACCAGCAACAGTGATGTGCGTACCCTAAAAATCGATTTGCTTGAAAGGTCGTATATCGGGTATAAAGTATCCCAAACTACTCACCACGACTCTGGTACGCGAGAGGACAGGATGTCAGCATGATGGAATCCTGTAATAAAAGAAGGGTGAAAACATCAACTTAATTGACTTTATACAAATAATGAAACAACTTTCTTACTTATATTAATCATTCTTGTTGGCCCGGTGTTAGCGTGCGAGGGGTCTTAATGTGGGAGGAAACCAGAGTACCTGGAGAAAACCCCATGTGGTCAGGCTGGTGACCCCTACCTTTGAACGTTCGCTGGGGGAATCAAACCCCGGCAGCCTTGGTGAAAGGCAAGAGCTTTATCCACAATGCCACCTGACCACCCGACACCAATACCTTTTCATTTCCAATCAAAGAGTTCTACTCTGACCATCTTGGTGAACGAAAGTGCGATATTCACTGTGCTACCCACAGCTGTTTAACAATTTGTAATTCCATGAACAACACATGTGTTTGGCCATGCATACTAATCCCCAATTGTTTATGTTTAAACTAACTCAAAACTGAGAAAAATCTCCAATAACATTATCGCTTGGAAATCTCAAAGTTGAGAAAAACCTCAAGTAAAGTTAATTTAATGGATAGAAAATCTCTAAGTTCAGCTCAATGCTAATTCAATGGGAAATATCAAGCTGAGGAAAACCCAACACTTGAGGTTATTGACACTCATGAGTGGGGCATGACAATACGTTATGGATATTTCTAAGTAAAAAGTCTGAAGTTGTGGGGAAAAAAAGGACAAAGTCTAGGCAGTTTGGATTTTTAATTCCTTTCTGAAAAGCAAAGCCAACTTTGTTGTGTGCCTCTCAATTAATGTAACCACTCAGATAGGCTAATATGATACATTATGTCTTATCTCATCACTAGATATTACAGCAATAATAAATCCTTTGAAAACACCCGAAGTGTCATATTGGTTTTTTCTTACCTGGTACAAATCTAATTTAGTATCAGGTGGTCAATAGATATCACGATCAGCATTGTGTCGGTCTCTTGGGGTCAGCTGCACTTTTAGGTTAGGTCATATTAAACTGGTGAACTATGTAACAGGAAACAGAACAGTGTGCTTCCACCGGGGATCGAACCCTCAATCTCCAGGTTCCTAGTCGGACGCTCTACCACGGAGCTAAAGGGAAACTCGAAGCTAGAAGGCGACCGTAATCCTATGTACAATTAAAACCTGCCACAACTGTTTGCAAATAGCAGTATTCTTTAATTATTTGTGAAAATTATTCAGATGCACTCTTGTATTTACATAATTGGAGTTCTCTTAGTGTATCAAAACAATTAATAGCTCTGTTTTCACACTGGTTGCAAAGGTGCAATGATAGAAATAGACACTGATATTTATGTTACAAAAAGCATATGGAATTCTTTTGTGTTACTATAGATGTGTCTATGACAACAGCCGTGAGGACATGTAAAAACAAATCTACAGAAGAGGTATATTCTTCAGAGATTTGTTTGAAAATGAATTGCAAAAGCAATATGGGACGTGAGCATGTTATTAGATTAAATACACTGAAGCCTACAACACAATCTACTGTGAAGATAAATATATTATTTAGCTCTCGGCATAACTGTCTACATAACAAGAGGCCCAGAGGGCCTGAACCCTCACCTGGATATCTAAGCAATCATGGCAAAATATCCTCCAAATGAGATCCAAGGGAATATGCCAGAACCCAATGCCAATTCTTGTAGTATGTCTGTATTAGATTTATCATGCCCAGCAATTTAATGTATGGTTATGTGGTGGGGATCTCAACTGTTTCCAAGCTGTGACTCAGAAACTAGGTCCCCAGGGGTTCGGCCAGGGTCTATTCTAATACCATGACTACTTTTGTCTCTTTATGCCAAGCATTTGTATATATAGTTCTGGGGTGGGGATCTCAACCGTTTCAAAGTTATGACCCAGGGACTATGTCTCAAAGGGGGGTCAGCACTAATTTGATCAATATCCATGGCATAATTCTACAGAAGAAGTCGTTAATAGCAATGTAGCCAAATTACCCCCTTTTGGACCCTCTCCACAGCCCTCTTGGGGGTCAGCCCAACCATTTGTACAATTTTGAATCTCCACTACCGAGGGATGCTTCCAGTCAAATATGGTTGATAACTGTCTCTTAGTTCCAGAAAATTAGTCGCTTAAATCAATATAGCACAATTGCCCCCTTTCGGCCCTGTCCCTCAGATCCCTGCGGACCCACGGTTTATATTTAATTGGTTCCCCTTCACCCAAGGATGCTTCGGACCAAATATGGAACAAATTCTACAGAATAAAAAGGATTTTAAAGAATTTGCTATGTTTCCCATGTTTGGCCCCGCCATTCAGGCCCATAAGGGGCCAGAACTACAGTTTATATAAAATTGATTCCCCTTTACCCAAGGATGCTTCAGACTAAATATTGAACAAATCCTTTCATTCTTACAGAAGAAGAAGGATTTTAAAGAATTTGCTATGTTTTCACTATTTGGCCCGCCCCTCAGGCCCCTATGGGGCCAGACCCACAGTTTATACAAAATTGGTTCCCCTTTACCCAAGGATGCTTCAGACCAAATATGGAACAAATCCTTTCATTCCTACAGAAGAAGAAGGATTTTAAACAATTTGCTATGCTTCCCCTATTGGGCCCCGACCCTCAGGCCCCTCAGGGGCCAGACCACGGTTATACCAAATTGGTTCCCCTTCCCCCAAGGATGCTTCAGACTAAATATGGAACAAATCCTTTCATTCCTACAGAAGAAGAATGATTTTAAAGAATTTATTATGTGTTCCCTATTGGGCCCCGCCCCTCAGCCCCCAGGGGGGCTAGACCCACCATTTATAAAAATGTTGTTCCCCTTTCCCTAAGGATGCTTCTGACCAAATTTGGTCAAAATCTGCTCAGTCGTTTATGACTCCCGTAAAAACCCATGCACACTTTTTTTTCAAAAATTTAATACCCAAAGTGTGGGGGGGGGGGGGGGGGGGG